GAAGTCAACAATAACCCCCAAAATCTGGAAATGTTTTAAAAAATACTGTATACAGGGAAATATTCATCCCCGTTTTATTTTCGCCCCTTTGACCTAACCTCGTTTAGGCGAATTTAAAAAGGGCGAATTCAAAATGTACAATATAATTTCTTAAACAAAACTGTGACTGGGCGAATTTAAAACGGGGCAAAATTGTTTCCAATTGTGAAAGGGCGAAAATAAAGCGGGGCGAAAATAACCCAGTATACAGTAGATAGTTTTCGAAAGACATGACTTAAGCAAAAATTATTTCCCATAGTCACTATATTGGCCCTCCTCAGTTGACTCCGCTAGCTCCATTCAAAAACTGGATGTGATTGGTTGAGGAATATGCATAAAATTGATACACTCTCTCACAGGCACTTGTGTGATAGGGTGATTTATTTCTTATATTAATTATTATATTTCACGATTAAATTAATTCAGTTGAATTATCATATTTATTTCTTTTCAGCATTTCATTTATTGAATAAATCCACATGGAATTATTTACATCAACCTGTGTTCATTGTGTTATTTATAGATGTATGACATCACAGTGGTCATTTAAACCCCTGTCCCTTTTCTATTTATATCTTGTGTAGTGTCAGGGCCAACTTGGATTTCATTGGTTGGTTAGTTTCCCTCTCTTTTGGTTTTTAACTTAGTTAACTACTTTGGTTTGAGATCTTGGTCTGACCAGCAGACATATTGGTTTTGTTTATATGTTTGTCCATTTTCTATGTTGACTGAAATTACGACCATGACCAAGACTGGACAGAATGTAAGTTGACTTTTACTAATTTCATTATCTCTATATAATTGTTTATCTATTTAATTCCTAAATAATAATATTCTAATATGAAGTATGAAGATTCAGTCTTTGTGATTATTTTATGAGTGTGTAAATAATGAAAAGTAATAATTTCATATATCATTGTATGTACATTTTTGAGAGCAATACAGTAAAGTTGTTTATTATTTATATACAGATCACTGAGTAAGAGTTCACGCATCATTGTATATTTGGAGTATTGGCTTTATATCACATATAGGTATGATGTATATATATTTTGAATATTGTCCATATAATTATATTATTCTGGAAAAGTTCAGTATTATTGATCTGATTGTTTCATCTATAAATTCCAGTATTTATACTCTGTACATATTATTGATTAAGAAAGACAACTCTTAATGTTTTATCCATGAGCACAATTTAAGGGAAATAACTCTCATTTTGACCGTGCTATCTGGCAAGTGATCTACATGTATGTATTGTTATCAAATATTTATTATTGTTTATATATTTCAGAGCTGTGATAATACTGATTGAATATACATTTATCCACATCTACAACATGGTGTTTGTGTTAATTTACTTATAAAACGAACCCCATTTCACTTGTTTCATATACTTGGCACCCCCTGTATATTTTACCACAAGGTACCTAACTCAATATCAGGCACCCCCCACTTCAAGCTCACATTTGGTAAATATATCATTCATTTACCTACTTTAAAATGACATGGTTTGCTTTAAGAGCCTTTTCTTCATGTCAATTAAATCGTTTCAGACATGTACAAAAAAGCCATCCAGAGCAGGAGCTCCGAGTAGGGGTATACAAGCCCGAAATCCTTCTTTATTCACACTTCTTACACTGGGCAATTGGTTGAAGATTACAAAATTATTCTTGCGAATTTATGTTAAAACAATCTTCTTTTAATCTGTAATTTCTAAAGATTTTTGCCCTCATATATGTGCCATACAAGTTTAAAATTGGTCGCTCATGGAAAAAAAAATCATTTATTGGACCTCCAATGCGTCGACCAGCAAGAAATAACTCTTGGTAAATTCAGGATTGTCGAAAACTAGAAAAACAAAATAATAAACACCGATGCCGCAAAAGACTGTCAAGTCCCAGTCATCCCCTCTCAGTTTCTTCCACTTACTCAGTTACTGTCAATAAAGATTAAACTAAACATTGAATTACTTCAGGCCTTTACTAAATATACATCATGTTCCCGATAAAATGAAGAAACTTAACACTTTTACTTGCATTTAAAACTACAGTACAAGGAACTGCTTTCTTACCGTCTTCACGGTCTTGCGGTGCCTTTTTTCAACCATCTCAATAAGGAAACTGTAAACTGCACACTAATTTAAAAGGTAGCAGGGAACGGAAAATATATTTCCGGTAAACTTCGGCTATTGCTGTCCGAACGGCGAATGCTTTGGAAGCGATTCCCCCTTTTTTATATTAAAAAAAGTAAGAGAGCACATAGTTGAGACAAAAAAAAATCATTATTACTATATATGGTTTATATTGCTAGTGTTACTAGATTTTGAATGAATTTCCTCTGCAAGTATATAAGAAAATAAAATTTCAAATGAGTAGCAAAAAGATATACTTAAAAACTCTTAGTGTAATCTTATTGTTCATAGGCGTCGGAACTTTTGTTTGCAAATATATACATAATATAGGCATTGAAAATTAGAGTTTACCTTTTTTTGTTGGTTTAGCCCCCCCCCCCTTTCAATTTGCTTCCTACGCCTATGTTGTTTATCAGAACTTTGTTTCCAAAGTTTATCAAATTTAGTTGGTATTTGTATGTTCATTATTTCCAAACTCATAATCTATTCTCAATAACTGAAATTTAAAAAAAAATCGGAAAACGTCGGAAAATCTTATTGAAAAAAGCAAATTCTTTAATGAGTTTTCTTAATCATTGTTAATATCATCGAAGTTTTTTTAAATTTATATTTTTCCCTCTAGTGAAGAACTTTTTATAAAAAGTTCCAAATTTTTTGGACAATCTTCGCTAGAATAACATCGTTCTGTATGTAGAAATAATTTGTAATTTGATTCGCATACAAAACGCTATATTTATCATTTTAAATGTATGCACAATAGAGGGTTGCCTCTTTACTCGACCATGTTAAATAATGTATTTTTATGTTGAAAAAATAGTCTTAAAGGGATTTAAATTGTATCCACTTCAAAAAATTTATCAAATATAATATTTAGCTGCGTTCTCGTCAACATAATACATGAAATGGGAAATAATTGTGCCTCTCCACGACTTCCCTTATTAACGGAAATGGACAGTTCCAGTTTCGGTTCATCGTATGGAATACATTAAAATAAGAATAATGAGCAACACGTAAGTTTTTTCTTCTCTACATACGCTTGCATGATCTCGTCTTTGAATGTCTAAGATGATACTGAGTTTTCGTTACACAACAGGCCGAAGGAGTGTGATCCCAATTATTTCAGGATCGGGGAGACGAAATGTGAACGTAAGTCTTCATGCACGTATAATAAAAGCAAACACAATATGAATATTAGACTGTAATTCATAGAATATGATAATAATCTGTCTAATTAATAAACTGGATTTTTTAAATTCACACAACATACAGCATTATATACATTTATCAGATTTAAAAAAAAAAACAGATGTGTGTTTTTTATCTTAAGAGAGAGAGAGAGAGAGAGAGAGAGAGAGAGAGAGTGAGAGAGAGAGAGAGAGAGAGAGAGAGAGAGAGAGAGGTTAAAGTTAAGAGAACAGCAGATTCCACATGTACCACTGGATATCATTAACTGGATTTATTTATATAATAATTATACTGTTTTAATTTGGCATGTATTATTTCGACATACTAGTAATTATAAACTTTAAACAAGAGACCCACGGGCCTTATATGTCACCTGAGTATCATGTAACAACTTTCCAACAATTGAATTGCTTCGTGTTTTGAACCAAAGGCAATGATATTCACAATTTAGAAAGAGGCACCATTGCTTATCATAACTATACACTTAGCTTGCTTATATACTTTGGTTACTTAATACCCAGAGGTAGATCAGAGTAACAAAGAGAATGCATTTACACATTATAACCAGTTGTGCACCCCAACCCGCAGGAACCGCTGACCCTGGGGGCACATATTTCAAAATTCTGGAAATTTTATCATAAATTTTCTTTCATCATAAATGGTTGATTAATACCAAAGAGCAGATTTCAGAGCATCAATTCATTTTCAGACAATGTAACCCCCCACCACTGACCCAAGGGCCCTGAAATTAACCATTTTGGAAGGGGCACCTTTCATCACTATTAATAGGTACTTATTAGCATAATACCCAGGAGCAAGAGATGTTCAAAGAATTCATGTATTTTCACAATACATTCATTAGAGCCCTGCCATAACACCAAAATCCCTGACCCAGGGGCCTTGAAATTCAAAATTTTGGAAGACAAAGCCTTCCTTATCATAACTATTTACATAGTTCAGTGGTTCAATACCCAGAAGCAGAGAAGATTTTAAAGAATCAATGTTTTTTACTATGTAATCAACAGAGCATCACCATAACACCAGAATCTCTGACCCTGCATGGGGCCATGAAATTAATAATTTTGGAAGAGGCAGTCTTATTCAACATGACTATATACAATGTACTTTGTTAGTTTATTTAATACTCAGGAGCGGAGAAAAAGATTTTTCATAAAGAATTAATGATTTTTTTTTTATTTTGAAAAAGGTAGCAATATTCAGCATAACTATGTATTTGGTTTGTTTATCAAATATCTGAGAGCAGAGAAGATTTTAAAACAAATCATGCATTTTCACTCTATGTAATCTATATGGTCCCGCCTTAACACCTAAGAACCCCTGCCCCTGGGGCCATGAAATCACAGTTTTGGATGAGGCAGTCTTATTCAACGCAACTATGTACTTGGTTAGTTTATTAAATGACCAGGAGCAGGGAAGAAGATTTGCAAAGAAATAATGCATTTTCACTATATAATCTACATGGCCCCGCCCTAGCACTAGAACTTCTGACCCCAGGGCCATAAATTTCACAATTTAGGTAGAGGACTAAATGTTGATTACAATCATGCAAACAGTTTGACTGCTTGATGTCTAGGAGTAAAGAAGATTTTTAAAGATTGCAATGATATTAGAGGTTTTGGTCCCACCCCTCAGGCCCCAGGGGAGCAGGATCATGGAATTCACAATTTTTGTTCCCATTAACTTATAGATACTTTATGCCAAAATTGGTTGAAATTGGTTGAGTAATTGCAGAGAAGCTGAAAAATAGAAAACACAGGAGGAAAATATGCTAAAGCACTCTTTTGTAATAGCTACTAGTAGCATTGATTATCCACTTTTTTTTTTTATCCCCGTAAGCGAAGATTTGGGTACATGTGTATAGATTTTACCCCGTCAGTTTGTCTTTTGTTCGTCCGCAAATTTTTAATTTTGCCCAAAACTTTGAATGGGTTGGGATATGGGTTTCATATTTTACAGGTGTATTCCTTGTGACAAGACCAGCAAAAATTGACCACTTGACCTTGGAGTTTGACCACTTTTACAAAAAATTACAAAACCCAATTCTTCTAAATAATGTTAGAACAGGTTGCACTAGAGAAACTTTACATGTATCCCTCTTTATAAGCCATAACGTTAGTACAGTTTGTACTTTAGGGAAACTTTACATGTACCGGTATCCCTCTTTATAAGCCATAACGTTAGTACAGTTGGTACTAGAAAAAACTTTACATATATCCCTCTTTATAAGCCATAACGTTAGTACAGTTTGTACTTTAGGGAAACTTTACATGTACCGGTATCCCTCTTTATAAGCCCTAACGTTAGTACAGTTGGTACTAGAAAAAAACTTTACATATATCCCTCTTTATAAGCCATAACGTTAGTACAGTTGGTACTAGAAAAATCTTTACATATATCCCTCTTTATAAGCCATAACGTTAGTACAGTTTGTACTTTAGTGAAACTTTACATGTACCGGTATCCCTCTTTATAAGCCATAACGTTAGTACAGTTTGTACTTTAGTGAAACTTTACATGTACCGGTATCCCTCTTTATAAGCCATAACGTTAGTACAGTTTGTACTTTAGGGAAACTTTACATATATCCCTCTTTATAAGCCATAACGTTAGTACAGTTTGTACCAGAGAAACTTTACATATATCCCTCTTTATAAGCCATAACGTTAGTACAGTTGGTACTAGAAAAAACTTTACATATATCCCTCTTTATAAGCCATAACGTTAGTACAGTTTGTACTTTAGTGAAACTTTACATATATCCCTCTTTATAATCCATAACGTTAGTACAGTTTGTACTTTAGGGAAACTTTACATATACCCCTCTTTATAAGCCATAACGTTAGTACAGTTTGTACTTTAGTGAAACTTTACATGTACCGGTATCCCTCTTTATAAGCCATAACGTTAGTACAGTTTGTACCAGAGAAACTTTACATATATCCCTCTTTATAAGCCATAACGTTAGTACAGTTGGTACTAGAAAAAACTTTACATATATCCCTCTTTATAAGCCATAACGTTAGTACAGTTTGTACTTTAGGGAAACTTTACATATATCACTCTTTATAATCCATAACGTTAGTACAGTTTGTACTTTAGGGAAACTTTACATATATCACTCTTTATAATCCATAACGTTAGTACAGTTTGTACTTTAGGGAAACTTTACATATATCACTCTTTATAATCCATAACGTTAGTACAGTTTGTACCAGAGAAACTTTACATATATCCCTCTTTATAAGCTACCAGGGGGCAACAGTGTTTCACAAAAATAACTTGTTTAATATTTTGAATTCATCAGCCTGTGATCCCGGAAAGTACGGATTTAATTGCTCTATACCGTGTCCAGATAATACCTATGGTCGTTTTTGCTATGGGACATGTAACTGCACTCCTGACGAATTGTGTGATCGAAAATTTGGATGCTTGAGCAACAGTTCCAATTTCACTACAGGTAAATCTCCTCCCTCTACTCTTTTCCTTACAATAGTATTAACTGACACATATGAGGTTGCTGCTTTTTACACGAATGATCATTACTCTTACTTTATATTTTAGCTGATTCCAAGAGAATGATTGGTGTTGATACAAACTATTTCCCGGAGAAGCTTACAATGTTTTTATTGGTTTCCTTGGCGTCAGTGGTCATTTTCAGTGTCCTTTGTTCCATTTTTCTCATAAGGTAAATAAAAAAAAATATACAGCGATAATTTGTAAACCACAAATAAATCAATTAAATAAATACACTGTATATATCTTTATCATTTCAGAATTAGTAAAAGGCATTACAAACGAGAATTGCGTAAGTACTCGTAATATTGAATTGCAATCATTGAGTATCTAAAATTGACATTAAAAAAGATACCCGATTACTTCATTGCACATATCTATATAATCTATGAAGACAAAGTACCGGTATATCACTGATTTGTTGGAATTCCAAAGGACACTTATTGTGTTCATTTAATTATGAAACCTATTTTTACATTCCTATGAAGCAAAGTTTAATAAAAGAAATTTTACATGAGCAGAAAACACAAGCTATGTATCCTCTCTCGACCTTTACATGTGGAAAAGTAATTAGAGTTTTTTATTTTAATTTTAGCAAAATTTGTTTTTATTTCACATTTCGACTCGATAAATCCTAAATAGTGAACAGGAAATAAAAAACAGCACAAAGTTTGCCATAATTGTTTCAATATATCAAGGTTATGGTGCATGAAGGAGTTAAAGGCCAACTTAAAGGGGCATGGACACAGTTTCAGCTAAAATTTCAAAATTTATTTTTCCATTTTTACAAATATTAAAGTAGGGTCTTTGTAATGATCATCAAAAAATTTGAACGCCAATTGTCCAGATACAACACAAATTTAGAGCTCCAAACCTTTGTTATATAAACAAGGCTAGTGTCATGTTAAATTTTGTTTACACAGGTTAATATACTAATAATATACGTTTGTTCAAAGTAGATGATTTCAAATAAAAGTTAATTCTAAATACGATTCGACAGTTACTATTGATTTATTGAACTTCATTTTGTTATACATATAATATTTTCTATATATGTAAACAAAAACTAGGCACGATCCTTGTTTACGTTATGAAGAACATTAAGTTCTGTATCTTGTTTGTTAAGGTAGGATTCTTCTCATATTTCTAATATTTAAAAATCAATGAAATTTTCACAGAATCAAGAAGACAATACCAGTAAGTGATAGTATCAGTGAAATTAAATTTGACCGTTTTATATTAGAGGCAAGGTCAGGTCAAGGTCATTATCTTTTTCCTTGACATTAAGAATAAAAAATAACTGTTGCCAATCATATGATACCTACTTCTATTTCAAAAGTTTAATGATTGTTCTTTTTGCATAAAAACATATTACTAGATCGGGTTTATAGCAAGATATTACCAAATTTACATAAATAATGTAACTTAACTGGATATTGGCTAATCCGAATTTTCTCTGTTTTTCTTAATTTTTTAGGATATATTAGTTATTTTCATATGCTTCCTATATTTAACTTTTTCTTATTTTCACATATAATAAAGTAGTCTTATAAATGTACAAAATGATACAAAAACAAAAAGTTTTGATCGTTTAGTAAGAGAGAAAAAATACTTTTTGTGGATTTTTGGCTCAAATCTGGACTTTGATAGGAAGTGTTTAAAAGCTAATAAAGTTCTAGTTTGTTTGAAAAATCATATTTATTTGATAAATTTTGAAAGTTTAGTCCCTCATTATTAATCTAACTTACATTTGAAAATTTCTCCAAGACTTCGATTGTGTAAAAATCATAACTAAATACATTGTTCTATGATAATTTTGAGAGGCAGAAAAGAAGATATTTTCATACGCCACCATTCCGCCAAAAATATAGTCCCTGCTAGTTTTCAAACGCAGTTTACCATTTCTATTTAAAGTTGTACAATTGTGATGAGGTAAGAAAAATATGGTCTTTTAAATTCCTTACACCTCAATATATAAGACATATAAGCAAATATACTTTGAATGTTTCATCTAGTCAGAAACCAGAGAAGAATCCTACCTTAATCAACAAATGATGTGAAAATTTTTGGTAATTAATAGATGATGCCTTAAGTATGAATAGTAAACATTAAAATTGGTTTTAAAAAAATCATTTGAAACTGTGTCCAGGCCCCTTTAAGAGTAAACTTAATGATAAACGTAATGACTAGCTTTACTATAATCAACTTCCACTGTTTATGCATTAACATTCAGATGTTGCCTGTATATGGTGTTTATACATCTGATTCGGTATGCAAACTTACAGTATGACCTGTGTGCGATCAAACTAGCTGCAGAACTGTAGCGTTATGGTTTTTAGTTCACCAAGCCGAAGGCTCAAGTGAGCTTTTCTGATCAAAATTTGTCCGTTGTCTGTCGTCGTTGTCGTAAACTTTTCACATTCTCATCCTCTTCTCAAGAACCTCTGGGCCAAATTCAACCAAACTTGCCACAGAGTATCCTTGGGTTAATGGGATTCAAGTTTGTTCAAATGATGGGCCATGTCCTCTTCTAAGGGGAGATAAGAATGAATTAGTGAAAAATTAATGGCATCTTTTAAAAATCTTCTTCTCCAGAACCACTGGGCCAGGAAAGATGAAACCCTGTGGAAGCATCCTCGGGTAATGTAAATTCAAGTTTGTTCAAATAATGACCCCCGGATGTAGGGTGGGCCATTATGGGGGTCAAAGTTTAACATAGGGAAAATCCTTAAAATTCTTCTCAAAAACCACTGGGCTAGGAAAGATGAAACTCATGTGGGAACATCCTCTGGTAGTGTAGATTAAGTTTGTTCAAATCATAACCCCCGGGGGTAGGATGGGACCACAATTAGGGATCAAAGGGACCACTCAAGCATTTCAGCTTTTAAGAAATATAAACTGATTTTTTTTTTGCTAGCCTCAGTACTCAGGTGAGCGATGTGGCCCCTGGGCCTCTTGTTTATATTAGTCTTTGACCACAACGCATCAAATACCGTAATGCAAAAAATGTGCATGAAGTGCTTGAGATGAATTTTTAGCAGTCTAAAAAACAATTCTAATCAAGGGAGAGACGACTATAAAAGGTTGGGAGGAGGATAAAATATAAAAATGTGTTAAAGAATGTGTCTATGATTTCGAAATGAAAAGTAGGTGATTGATCAGTGGTAAAAGTGGAATTATTCTCCCCAAAATTGCGCAAAAAATCTTTCACCGTAAATTGCACCTTTTTTGCAATACGGGATCTGTACCGTTATGGTCAAAGACTACTATATTAAACCATAACGCTACAGTTCTGCAGCTACGATCAAACTTATACCTAGGAAGGATACTGTCAAATAAGTTGACGCAATTAATCTCGCTTTAAGTCGGTACTCTGTCCATACTGTATTTTATATTTGTAATAACTCTTTAAACCCATGGTTTTTCTACTAATTTGGGCAACGGATTATTACATTGGCCTGAACAGAACAGAGGGCTCACGACCGGCGTGACCGGTCAGGGGATGCTTACTTCTTCTACACACCCTATCCCACCTCTCTTTTTCTATAGCGCCTGGTTTATTGACAAGTTCACAAAACGATTATCAAATCGATTACTGTTTGTTATTTTCATTTTTCCCGACCAAAGGTAATAAAGGAACAACAATATCTCATCAGCTGTATGCTCCAAACTTCACGGGAGAATATATTAATACTTATAGAGTTTTGAATTATAACCTAACAGTCTGTATTATAAAGTCATTCAACATTCTTCCCAAAGACATGCTGCAACAGCAAGAACAATGAAGTATCGACTATATAATTAGCGAAATGTCGAAAATATAGCACCAATCCATTGAATTTGGAGACTTTAAGTATCACCATAAAACAACCTCATACAATTTTTTCTTTCACAAATTAACAATGGTCAATTGCCGAATAAGTACATGACTAATTGTCATGTACTCATTGGCAATTGAAAATTATTAATTAGTGAAAGACAATATTTTATTCGAATAGCCACAAGACATAATGAAAAATAAATTGTACGGAATTTATTTTTATAGAGATAAAATTTCAGAAATATTCTTGAGGGACCTTTCTGGTAGAGATACATGTAGAGATCAAGAAAAAAATGCAGACAGTTTACTGATTTTTAGTGCATTATAACATCAATACAATACTGACTGACTATGTTTTATTTTTAGAACGAATGATAAGTAATGTATCGGAAGAGAGATCTGATGCTGTACATGAATACTTTGGTTATGACACCATGGACTCGATGTCTGCCATTCCTCGACTTCCTTCTGCCAACACATACGATCACATCGACAGAGGGGAATACAACATTTTAACTCTTTCACAGAGGGCGTATGCTGGTGACGCAAATACCTCTCCTGTGACGTCATTTCACAGACAGAATTCAAAAACAGAGATGAATGATAATAAACGCTTCGAAATTGATATTGAACCAGAATGTTTGGTAAATCTATTTCAAGAAGAAAACGATCATTTATTGAACGATGGAATTGAATCACAAACAATATCCAAACTATAGTGTAACTGGGTTTTACAAATTATTGTAAAGAATACAAGCATATTCTCTTAGGATGATCGAAGTCTAAATGTAAGTCCGGTGAAGTTTTCGAAAAATTAAAATGGATGAAAATTCAACCACTTTGCCCTTCCTCTCTTTTATGTTCATCGTTATATAGTTCCCAACAACTTAATTACTGGTGCCAATAAACAACTTCCTTGTTCCCAATTAATAATTAATTTTTGTTATTAATAACTATGCATACTTTTATCGCACATCCTGAAAAAAATAATTAGCATTTAATTTTTATTCATCAAATTTAATTTCTGTGTTATCCAGAAAGGCTAGTTTGTTTCATGTATTTCAACAAACGCAATTAAAGTCGGCAATTTGTAAATTCTATTGTTGTTATAATTACCTTGATTGCAAATATTATACAATTATGGACTCTTGTGATGTTGAATATGGTTTGTTATTCACCAGAAAAGCATCAATTTTGACCGAGGCGCATTATTTTAATTGTATTTTAGAGGAACCGAGACTCTGTTCTAATATAGGTAATCCAACTTATTCTCACAGCTCCTTTTCTTAGGATGAAATTCTTCAAATCATGACAGTTAGAATATTTTTAATATTCCTAAAAACAGGAATGAATTTAAATTGCCATATCTATATTGGATTCCAAAAGGCCATAAAAATCCTTACAAACAAATATACATCGCGTGTACCAGGAAATGTTCTACAAAGCCCTTTCTTTACTCCTCACTCAATTATAAGCAGTAGTGAAGGAGAAACTTCAAGAGTACTGTGCACCAATATTCTCAAGAAGAGGCGTAAATCAGATGTGGATATCTAAAAATTCCAAGGAACTTTTGGAAAATATATTTAAAGTCACAATATACTTAAAGTCATTTTTATTTTAGATCTCAAAACGTCACAAAAATCCCTAGAACCAAAATTCCTAGCGGGTTCTTGTAAATGTTCTACCAAGCCTTTTTCTCTACTTCTCACAAGATATTGACAGTAGTGAAGGAGAAACTTCAAGAGGACTGTGCAACAATATATTCGAGAAGTGGTGTAAATCAGACGTGCGGATACTTAAAAATTCCAAGGAACATTTAGAAAATTTGAAATCACAAAATTTTATCAAATTCAACTGCATAAAAATGAATCTTTTTCAACTTTATATAAAACCAGTCCTCACGATGAATTTGAGTCCAGACTTTTTGATATCATTTACAGCCGACTTTTTAATAAAATTGGAACTTATGAATTTACTCATCTTGTCATTGGTAATTTGCAATGAATTTGTTGAAAAAAAATCTTTTTGTACAAAAGGATGCTTGAGTTTCTGACTAGCAACATCTAGATGATTTTTGGAGACCAGATCTTCCAACAATCTATTGGATATTCTCATGGGTACCAACTGCGCCCGTTATTAGCATACCTATTTTTATATTCAAATATCATTTTTTAATTTCATATGAAGCAGAATTTGTCCAAATCCTTATACATGTACATAAAAAGCATTTGCTGTGGCCCTCAACTCGATACCGTGGTTTTTAGATATCATATCGACTATCGTATTGTCAATTAACAATGGTTATTTCCATTCTTATGTCGATATGATATATCCCAATGAGCTTGAAACAAAAGATAGTACAGAGTCCCACACATCTATTTCATATTTAGATATTTTACGTGAAAGGGGCTTTAATGGTAATTTAATAACCAAACTTTATGATAAACGTGATGACTGAAACTTTTCAATCGTCAGTTTCCCTTACGTAGGCAAAACTATACCATCATCACCTGCATACAAGGTTTACACCTCTCAGTTCATTCGATACGCAAGAGCATGCTCAGTAGTCTCGTTTAAAGTCATCAATTCGTAAGTTCTATGGTCGATACAATGACCTTGTAAAGATCAAGGAATTTATCTATGAGTCAAATGCTGACTGACGTTTTGCATACTAAGTGTCAGTCCATTATTTATACACTGAATTGACGACGGATTTTCCCGTTATTTTCCGATCATGACAAGGAGCACACGGCGGGTTCGACCGGTCGGCAGGGGATGCTTAGTCCTCCGTGGCACCTCATTCCATGTCTGATGTTTTGAAAATCCATGTTTGCTCTGCTGTAATTTTGTATTGTTTAATGTTTAATGGACCTCTGAACTTGAATACCGTTTGTTCTCTCCATGTCTTTCATTGTAATTAAATCTTCTAATTTTGTAAAGCATTTTTGTCATTTATCCTAAAGTTTGAAAGATAAAAAAATATAAATGATGAATAAAAACATTTCTCTTTTCAAAATTTTATGTATGTAGCAAAATCTCTTGGTGCCTTTTTAAAATGCTTCACATGCTATACTCCCAATGTGAAGTCCTTGTTACATAATATTGAAGTCCTCTAGCTGAAATAAAGAAAAACGTTAAAATAAGGGTAATTTAGTAATTGCATGAATAAAATTTGATACTGAACCCCCCCCCCCCCCCCCCCCCCCCCCCCCCCCGCCCCACGAATTAGGATTTTCGAGTTTGGGATTTTTTTTTTTGCTTCACAACTTTTTTCAGGTAAGAAAAAATTTCTTTCTCTGGCTGCCCCCCCCCCCCCCCACTTTCAAAAAAGATGCTACGTCACTGTATGAAAAACGCCAGTCAGCATTTGACTCAATGATAAATTTTTGTTGACAAGGTCATCGTTTCGACCATCGAACTTACGAAATGGTTACTTAAAACGAGACTGCTGATATTCAAGAAGTAGAAACATTTATATAAAAAAAAATATAAACTGTTATAAGATTTTTAAAAGACTCCTCAATTTTTTTGTTACGCTCGTACATGCTGCTGTACTTGAAACTCTTTTGCAAAAACAGGTAATTTTATATATGATTTGTGTTATTTTTATGTTTATGGCGGCAAGCACATGGTGCGACAAAACCCCTCAACCCCGCACAAGGAGGTTGATAAATTTATTTTTGTATATGTTTTGCATATTCTGTAAATAATATTTTATACATTGAATTCTGTGTAATTGTTGTAATTGTTTACAGTTTCACGGTGAAGCTTGGTATGGTATGTGACACTGCGGTGGGAATACCCGTACTGTTCCTAATTACACTTCATCAGTGAAAACCAAGTTAACCTTGCTTATCTTCGAGAGGGTCGATCCATAAGCGCACATCTCTGACGTGTCATTTTTTTTCTTGTAATTACTATTAATTTTTAAAAAATCTTTACATGCATAATTCCCTAATTAACGTTCCTTTTGAGAACATTTCACTCATATTGAGACGCCACAATTCCTAATTCGCGATTCTAAAGGATACGCACTATTCACTGCGTGATGTGGACAAGTGTAAAGTGAAACGTAAAAATGACTTTTTATGGTATACCTATATATTCTTTTAATATTTCCTCAGTCAATACATTTTTTCTAAACCAATACCTCATCATTGTTCTCTTTACTTGAATAATGCTGATCATGAAGTCTGAAAAATGAACCCAAGGATACAATCGATGTTATGAATTTGTCATATTTTCTAAACTATCTAATTTCCTTGATATGAATTCTATTTTTGGAAATCCTTATATCGTGGAAGGGAAAGGGAAATTCAATTAAAAAAATAACGACCCAGTGATGGAATGTCAAACCACGTGCTCATCTTACATGGAATGAAAATAGAAAATGAAACGGTGAAGAGCAATTAACTAAATTCAATGAAATAAGTCGTAATAGTTAACATCTTTGCCTTTTCATTAGTTTAAATGTATCATGTGTTAATGTGCATGCGATGGCATGTTCTACAAACATTATAACTATAATGTTAACAACAGTGTGTTACACCGATGGAGGATGCCATGTTGATAAATGGTACGACAGTATATGTATATTTTTCTCCAATGTTGATTATAAAATTAATAATTCATTGTTTTCTTAATTTTGCTTGTTGATATATGTCTTAAATACGTTTATTTGAAGCTGTGTCATGTTTATTTATTAATACCAATGCCAACTTGTTTTAGGTAAATATTTCAATTTATATGATTCAATCTCAAGTTCAAAGCTTTTGGTGAATTGCAAAAATTGATAAGGAGATGCTGGAATTTATTTGCCCGAAATTTTTGCGACTAATTTGTTCCATATTATTTTAACATTAATAAGTATCCTTCATGCAGTAGATGTTGTGTTGTTTAAATTGTTTTAAACATTGTTAAAAGCTTTGGGAAGATATTTTAATGCAGGATGTTTAGCAACCTTGCCCTCTACAGCATTTTCAACTGACTTCCTCAATTATTTACGTAGTTCTTTATTCAAGCACATGCATATGTTGTTTATTTTTCCCAAATTCAACATGTTCTTAGCATATTTATTTTTAATTCAGGATGACTACTGGTAAATTAGTTGACGTTATATTGCTGTGGACATTATTAATTTGTAGAACCTTTCAAGTTCTATATTCGAGGTTGATCATAATTTGGTTACTCAACTTAAACCTTTTTGAAGTGCTTTACTGGTTTAATTTAAACCAATGATTCTTTTTTATTTTATTTTAAGGCCATATTCATGTGAAGCCAACTTTCGAATAGGACCAGAAAAATGTGAACGTAAGTTCACTGGTACACACAAATGAAAGTAGAAATTAGCATAAATGATTGAGGGCTGTTCAATAAATAATGCCGTCGGTGCTCGGAAAGAAGCAAAAGACGCTTTTCAATAATTTAGTCTTAACGATTTATCTTTAATATTCTATTTGAATTAAAACATGTCCGTAACATTTTTATCCAACTTCTGATTTTGAGTATGGCCCTTCGTATACTGGATTATGATTTCCTGGACTTGTTTCTTCTTTTTGAAAGTTTTTTTTTTCACGTTTCGAAAATGAACCAAGTCAAAGGGTGACAGATATGGGGAATATTACTGTGTGACAAAATATTACCTTTCTGTTTATCCCCAAATATTCTCTACTCTTCATGGCAAGTGGGTCTGGACGCTATCATGGAGAAATTTAATGTAGTGGGTTTGGACGCTGTCATGAAGAAAATTAATTCATTATATGATTGAATAATGTCCATCTCTCTGATTGGATAAGATCAAACAATGTTAGAAAGATGCTACGTTGTATTAACCTGCACGTGACGTTCCAGGTGAATACAAGGATTTATTTCCCCTACATTGATCTAAAAATAGATCGGGAAATTCCAAATTGATGCAAATTGTTTTGGAAAGCTCTGTCACCGGGTTCACAGAGTGAGAATCAGTCAATATATCGGGTCTCAATAGCTCAGTTGGCTAGACCGCTGGCATGCTACGCCAGAGGCCCTGGGTTCGAGTCCCGGTTGAGACCCGGTTTTCACCACCTGTGACATTTGGCGCCCAACGAAAAACCCACTGTCCCCTTTGAATAGGCCTCACGCATTTCCTTAACTATTAGAATTCGAGGACGAATTTCTACAAAGAGAAGGAATGTGTCACCGGGTTCACAGGTGCCTGAGAGTCAGTCAATATATCGGGTCTCAATAGCTCAGTTGGCTAGATCGCTGGCACGCTACGCCAGAGACCCTGGGTTTGAGTCCCGGTTGAGATTTGACTTTTCACCACTTGTGACAAACTGTTTAGATATTATTACACGATCTCGTTTTCACTCATTTTTAGCCGGGCTTATTGCTCAAAGAGCAATTGCCGGCTTATGTCATCCTGTTCAAGGCAGGAAGTCAACCCCATAGTCGTCATTTTAAAGTTACGTGCAAAAATATAGTTCTTACTCTCAACCGCTTTTGAGTTAATACAAACGCTAAATAAAGCAACAAAAATAAAACGAAGTTTTATCTATATAAATAAACATTAGAAGCAATGACTTTGAAAACTTCCGTCCTAAGTCAAAGAACATAATTCATTAGCGTAAGGATTTTTGATACTAAAAATGTTATCGTAGTTCTCTACACTTACGAGGAAAAACAGGAAAGGGAACCAGACTGGCCTGTTTGTTTACATTCAGCCTTGGTACCAGATTAATTCTGATTCTGACAAAATCGGACCGTGGTATTAGGATTGAAAAACTCACTGTCAGTGTCTTATCATTTATATTGATAGTTTAAAAAAAAAATTCGTCACAATATAAACGTGATTCATGTACGAAATTCATTCTACTCTGTAAATGAGTCCGGCTCTCTGTACTTCTGAGTACTTTGATTTTAAAACATAGGGTGACCATTGAGTACTTATCTTTTTTTATTGTCAAACGTTTCTTTAAAATAGTGTGAACTACCCCCAAATTGATGCCTATTGAATTTGCTATGTGTTTTAAAGTCAATCAAACATCATAAGTGATAATTTGTTAAATTTTGGCAAACAGAACATTGATTGTTTTAAGTCCTTGTCGCCAAGGACGGTACCCATCTTTGATGCCCACTATATTATTATTGTTTATTGAAATCCACCAGCTCATGTATTTATAAAACAGACATTGGTTGCTGTAAATTTCACAAATTTCAGTAAATATTTCTTTGGGATTCTTATCATGTTTTACATCAGCTTCAATGAAGCGTTTAATTTCTCTAAAGTTTACTGATTTTTTACCATTCATTTTTAATGTAGTGTCTCGAATAGCCCTTGTTTTCCAGCTCCTGACAATAAAAATATGAAAAGTGGTCACATAAACTGATGTCATTCATTAAATTTTCAATCATGAGAGAAATTAGTTAAGCTTAATGTAATATATGACATTTCTGCTGTATGTCATAGAGTTCATTTTTTATTGAACAGCCCTCGTATGATGATAATGGATATTCTATAATGTTAAACAGTTATAATACGTTTTCCTTTAAATATGGTGGGAATATATATGAATAAACAAAATAAACTTAATTCTTCCTTCAGCATGTGAGCCTGGCAGATATGGTTGTAATTGTTCTCAAATCTGTACCCCTGGTACCTTTGGTTTGAACTGCTACTTTACGTGTAACTGCTCTGATGAAGTCTGTGATCCCAAAGTAGGGTGTACCTCCATCAACGAAACCTCAGTATTTACAACAGCCAGGCCTTATATTACAGGTTTGTCTAATTTCATTGAATGATGAGAATATGTTCTTGGCAATGTATGTTCACACACACATGCAACTATCGTCTCAAAAAATATATATATATATATATTACATGTACCTACATTTTTCTTAGAACAGAGTTCGTATTTCAGCTTAATTCTATGCAATCATCATCTATTTCATGAATGCAGTCAGGGTTTGATTTTAAGTATATAAACCTACAAAATCTGAAAAAAATCCTAATCTAAAATAAGGAAGCAGGACGAATATCCAAAAATATAAGAGGTGGGATCTAGTGCCATGGAATCCCCGGCAATTGGTCACACCTGCTTTCTTCTCCTTGTCTTGATCAGGCAAACGATTAAATAAATCGTAGACAGTTCAGTGTGTAAATATAAAATGCCCTAAAATGCCCTAAGAATTAGTATGCAATTAGTATGCAAAAAGGCGGTCAACATTTGTCTTAATGAAAGACTGTACCTGCTGACAAGGTCATTGTTCATGTACCCATGATAACATAAACGATAACATTTAGAGAGACTGATGATAACTTTGCCTCGTTTTGTAGATGTACTTGACTAATAATTAAGATTGTTCAAATTTTCTACAATCTTGTTCGATCGAGTTTGTATATTTGTTTTGAATTACATGTGTCTTGCATTTTTATTTTATTTGATGCTTTCTTTTGTCTTCCAGAAAAATCGTCAGTACATTACGCCGTCCAGTCAGAGATTCATTATACCAGACTTCCTCTAGTAATCTCAACGCCAGACAACAAATTACTGCCACTGAATGAAATAACATTATCTCTGCTGATTTCATCAGCAGCAGTAGTTTTCTTCAGTGTTTTGTGTGCTTTTATTCTAATAAGGTATTTTCTAACACCTTTATCTTAAGTGAGCATGTAAATTTTTGTTTAATCCTCAAAGACTGATTTCAATTATGTATAAAAATTTAAGATGATATTTTTCTCTAGATTAAGTAAAAGGATTTACAAACGTGAATACAGTGAGTAGACTCTATGTGACTCAATATAAATAACATTTCATCCCTTTCTCTGTATTGTTTGATTCTAAATTATGTATTACATGTAACTTGCTTAATATGAATTCTATTTGCTGACTTTGAATTTTTCAGGAAAGCTTTTAAACAACTTACAGTTGACTGGTATGAGGAGTGAGGATGAAAATATATATAGTGAGTGCAATTATACAGATTCCAGTATGTTAAACACGAGAATTTGCCCTTCTACCGATTTAGATGATTCGTATGACCATTCTGTTAAAGAAAACTATAACATTCTTTCATTAAGAAGTAGGACATCGAGAGTGAATCAGTATGACGTAGAAAGTAATTCTACGTCGCCATCATTGCATTCAATTACGTCTCAGCAATTTTTGGATGAAAGTGAGGCTGACTTTGTGTTGGAACCAGAATGTTTGATAAATTTATTTCAAGAGAATCAACGTCAACAGACGGATACCAGTCATGAGGATGAACAAATTCATTGATGCTTGACTTGAATGAGACAAATTTCAAACAAACAGCTGGTGATTTGAAAAGTAAAATGAACGCTGAAAAACATCAGCAGGTGATGGAACAACATGTAGACAAGCAGGAAGTCAGATACGAAGCTCAATCTTGATCGGATCTAAAATACCAATTAAAACTAAATATAAGCTTATATAATAATAAAAAATATGCATGAAATAAAAAAACAACAACAGTGCATTACAGTTTTTTAAAGTGCTCTTAATAAATATCGGTCATTTTATCGAAAATTGTGAAATTGATTTTTTATTTGGCCACACTATTCTTAATTGAAGGCCAATGAACAAAATTAATATAATTTCGTTGCATACGAAACACCACAAACGTGAAATCCTTTGATCTGATAAATTTATCTTAGTCTACACTTTTTTCTTTTATTAACGTTAAAGTTATAGTGAACCACACATGAACATGTACCTCATCATTGGTTGATGTGAATATGTATCACAGAATTGTAGTCCTAGTCAAGTCTTGCGTAAGAATTAAATAAAACTAAAATATAACCATCTGGATATAATTACTATTGTATTATCCACTACAGTTCGCAAGACACAGATTCATTCATCTCAAATGTATCCCTTTCCTTGGTAATATATTTCATAGTCCAGAAAACAGTAAGAATGTTGCTAGCTAGGAGAAACATCTCGATTATCAGATTTATGCATATTTTGTCTTCAGTTAAACGTATAAATAATGGACTAACAATTAATGTGAAAAACGTCAGTCAGCATTTGACTCGATGATAAATTATATTTGCTGACAAGGTCATTGTATCAACCATAGAACTTACAAATTGAAGACTTAAAACTAGACTGCTAATATTCTTGTTTCATCAACTTGTTTGTAAATAATTTACCTCGTTTTAGAAATTGTTCATACGTAGACAATGCTCTTGCGTATCGAATCAACTAAGATGCATACAGTAAACTCCGTATGCAGATGATGATGGTATGTTGCTGCATAAGTAAGGGAAGCTGACGATAGAGAAGTTAAAGTCATCACGTTTATCATAGAGCTTGGATGTTAGATTATAACCATTGCTAAATGGCAATATGTCCTCAATTTATCTAAATGTTGTGTAGAGGGCCACACCAAGAGTTCTTTACGAGTATAATTTGGAAAAATTTTGCTTCAATGTATATAATAACAGTTTTGCTAATAACAGGGAGCAATTTGTGCCCATGGGAATTCCAATAAATTGTTGAAAAACCTGGTCTCCAAAAGCCTCATAGGTACTCAGAGACTCAAGCATCTTTGAAATATCAATTTCAGTGTACTTCAGTCTTGTGTGTACAATCAGAATGTTATTAATAGTGCCAGACATTATTAGCTTTGTTTCTTTTGTATACAATGAATCGGTGTTATGCTAGAACTCGAAAAGTATGATTTTGGGTTAAATGCAAGCATTCATCTGCAAATGGCTTCATTTACCTAGTATACACAAGACTGAATACACATTACTTTATTATTTAGTAATGCATCAACATGCGGATTAGGATTCTTCTCTCGCAAATATATTTAAGTTGAGAGAAAAAGTCTCAATAACATACATGTATTAATTTTTATAAAAATATAAAACAATTCATTTCAACCTTCGTGGTATGCAAATCATTTCAAGTACTAAATATGATATACATTTAATTATTTCCGTGCGACACTTCATAATTAATATTTTTTTCATTGATTATGGTTTGATTTATAAAGGCGGAAATGTTAATTGGACTAGTTCAAAGTTCATTTTTGCATTCATGGTTATTGCGCCATAACTGAACTAAAGATCCGGAAAAGCTTATCAAGCTGTATAAAAAGTAACATTTGCTCATAGTATTTACCGGAGATGGTCCCTTATGTCTTAACGACAGTCCTTGTTAAACTGTTACAATCTGCAGATGGAGGGTGTCACGTGAACAAATGGTAAGTTTCAATCAATGTCTCCTACATACAACATCAGAAAGACTTACGGTTTTTGGAAGAGGAAAATATATCATATTTTGGAGAAATATAAACATTTTTACATCATATGATGTTCTTTGCATGTTATATTTAAAAGCATATCATGAATATATATTTCCTATTAATGTAGTATAATAGTCTTATAATAAATACAGGCCATATTCATGTGAAGCCAACTTCAGGATTGGACCTGAGAAATGCGAACGTAAGTTATCTTTTTCGTGTTGGAAAATCAAAGTGCATATTGAATAATACCTACGATAAGTTACTAGTCTAAAGATAATTGTAATTCTTCTGAGAAGATACAGTGAATAGACATCGTTGAAATATAAACTGTGCATATCTCTATATAGCCCCCATGACCTTTTTAGCATGTGAGCCTGGCAGGTATGGTTGTAATTGTTCTCAAATCTGTACCCCTGGTACCTTTGGTTTGAACTGCTACTTTACGTGTAACTGCTCTGATGAAGTCTGTGATCCCAAAGTAGGATGTACCTCCATCAATGAAACCTCAGTATTTACAACAGCCAGGCCTTATATTACAGGTTTGTCTAATTTCATTGAATGAATGATGAGAATATGTTCTTGCCAATGTATGTTCATGCATTTTGCAACTATGAACTGGTATTTACAACAGCCAGGCTTTACAACATGTTGCTTGTTTCTACCTAATTTTGATATACACTTCGTAGTGTACACTTCCTTGTGGATCAGTTCAATATACTAGTAAGCAAAATGTTTATGTCAAGTAATTTTTTTAAGATGAAGTATATTTTAACTTTTTTCGTTGTTTTACTCTGTGCTGAGCTCGAGAGTAAAGAAATTACTTTTTCCTACAATTATATTATTTCATGCGCGGATCCAGAATTTTTTTTTCCAAGAGGGGGTGGGGGTACATCCCAAACCCAAAATAAAATCCAAGCCAGAAATTTCTTGACAAACAAGGTCTCCGATTTCCATGGGGGCTCCAAGGGGTCACATTTTACTTGCTTTAGCATATGAATTTACAACCTTGCAAATTCCAGGGGGGTCCGGATCCCCCTCCACGACCCCCTCCTCTAGATCCGTGCATGTATTTTTCAAAAATTGTAATTCATTTTTTGATAATGAAACTCAAATGAAATTATTTTTCTTTTTTTCCCTGACTGATTAGATACACCTGAAGCAACATCAAAGTTCCATCTATTCTCTCCAAATTCAACACCAACCTTCGGGACACCAGAGGATCCTCTATCATTTCTAAGCACGGTCATCATTATTCTGGTCACATCACTAGTGCTGGTGGTTGTTATAAGTATTTCCTGCATCTGCTTTATAATAAAGTAATCAGTTATTTAAAAGAATTAATTAATAGCACTGTGGATATATATGTGAATAATTTTTTTTTTTCTTATTTTTAGTTCGTTCCTTTTGACACCTTTCCTGACATTTTTAGTATGCTACTTTAATGATTCGTAAACCTTATAAACCAGCTTAAACTATGATTAAGTGTTGAATGTGATTTTTTAAATTAGTTTTTTATGTATCAAAATTTTGGTAGATAGAAAGTACAGCTGTATATGTTAATTATATTACAATACAATGAAAAAGCAGCCTTTTCCGTGAAGATAATGGTTTTTGTAGGAGTTTTTTTTCATAAATTATATATATATTTGTCTTCAGACGGACATCAAAAACCGCCTTTAAAGAAATAACCGGTGAGTTTCTCATTCTATCAAAACTTTTTGTTATGTCTTAATGAATTCATTTGAGCGAAAATATTGTGACAAGGAAGATAAAAACCATAAATTTTGATTTATAAGGATAATTTCCTATCATCCAGGCATAAAAAGCGGTGAGCGTTCATCAGGTTCTGGGGATGAAAATCCAGATTCTCATTCCTATCTAACAATCAGTGATCGATCTTCTCGGCTGTATGCTGATGTACACTATGAAGAAGCTATGGACAGGAAAAGTTCACCTTCAGAATCCTTGAATTACAAGGGAAGCAATTCAAGCAGCATCACGGAGAGTAGTAAAAGATCCGATGATTATTTAACACCGACTGGAAAAGTTGTTGATGAAAAATTATCCAGTGGTCAATTATCTGGAGAGGATAATGTAGAACACGCATTAGTGGAAACCTGTTTCTAATAAATGAACTTAGCAAACTAAAAATGATTAAAGAATGCATATTAATAAAATAACAATGCAGGTAATTCTATCACTGGAACGTTAGAAGCATCTAGCTGTGTCTTCTATCTTGTTTCATGATTTGTATTAATTTTAACTTTTTCAAAAAAATCTGTAATTTGATATCCAAATCAAAAGATATTTTTTGGAAAAGCTAACAAAGGTGTGAACAATATCAAACTTGCAATTTATGGTGAAGTCTCTGTTTATTTAATATAAAATTTCTGAATGGAACGTTCAACAACATACAATCAATCAATACTCAAAGATGCCTTCCTTTTTATAAATATTTAGTATAGTATGATTAATAAATATTAATTTGAAGAGATGGTCATATTGCACTTTGAATTTTTTAAAAGACTTTTCTGCCCTTGATAAGAAGAACATTTTTCATTGCTCAAAACTCCCATGGTTAATAATTTATTTTATTTCATAATTTTATAAAGAGGGGGTTATGCATATTTTCACCTAAAGATTTTCTTAAAATTCAAATTACTTTTTGCAATATCTTATAAAGACATGCACTGTTCATATAGACCTAAATGTGAAATTTATGGTGCAATTACCAGTAATTGGACAAAATCAAAATTTTGTAAATTTCTTTGGCGGAGCATTTTTGTTTGATAATATCTTCAAAATGCAACCATGATTAAAAATATCGGTCCATTCATTTTTAGGTACAAAATACATGTATGGTCGTTATGCATTGAATACCCTAAAAAAAATTGTCAATATATTAGATGAATCTTAGGATTCTTTCTCAAGGTGAAACTAATAGGGAAAAATATATAATGGCAATTTTTACATCTGTTATTCAGAAAGGTATAAAAAGAAAGAGAACTCGGAACTTCGTTTGCGATTAGAGTAGATTTGCTTATCACTTTTTCGAGAGAAATATAGCAAAATAGTGCTGTCTATTACTGAAATTTAACGAGACCAAGTCTAATTCGAGTGCGCATGACTTTGCGCAGCTTTTTAGTTTTATGCAGCCGTATGTACAACATAACAGTGATAACACCCAAAAAACGCTGTAATGGCTTTCACTACGTCACTGTACTTTGTTCTGTACGTAAGCAATGCATGACGAGGAAGAATGACGCATAACTTGCATGAATGTTCAAGACCTCCATGGACATTTTATTTAAAAATGTTGACAGAACATCAAAAGAAACATGCCAGCAATTTAAACATGGTTATTCTTTTTACCAAAATAATTCTATATATATACCCAGTATACCGCAGTACGGCAAATTTAAAGACATTGGCACCAGGGGCAAAAACTTTGTAATAATACCTAGACCAAACCAGATGGACAACTCTTGAAATTTTACAATTTGGTTACTTTTTACAATAACTTTCCTGCGTTTGAATGAAAAGGAAATACTTAGGGCAGAAATACAAGAAGAATGTGAAAATTTGAAAATTTGACGCTTTTCCAACAAATCCCGGTAGTTTCCAGTAGTAAAATTTAGGAACTTTTGAGATGGTCCCCTAAGAAATCGGGATGGTAAATATTTGATTTTTAGGTCACCTGAGTAAACTCAGGTGACCTATTGCTATCTGTTTTCGTCCGTCTGCGTCGTGCGTCATGCGTTATCATTTGATCATTTTCAGCTTCTTCTCTGAAACCACTGAACCAATATCAACCAAATTTGGCATATAGCATCTATGGGTGAAGGGGAACAAAAATTATGAGTTTCATGGTCCCTGCCCCCCTGGGGCCTGGGGGGTGGGGCAATACCACTCAAATTAGTGCAATCTTTAAAAATCTTCTTCTTTACTCCTGGACATCAAGCAGTCAAACTGTTGGTATGATTGTAATCAGCATTAAGTCTTCTACCAAAATTGTGAACTTCATGGCCCCGGGGTCGGGGGTTCTAGTGCTAGGGCGGGGCTAAATAGGATATAATTGAAAATGCATTATTTCTTTGAAATTCTTCTTTTCTGCTCCTGGGCATTAAATAGATTAACCAAGTGCATAGTTGAATTGAAAATGACTGCCTCTTCCAAAATTGTGAAGTTAATGACCCCAGGGTCAGGGATTCTAGTGCTAGGGTGGGGCCATATAGGTTATTATAGTGAAAATGGAGTAATTCTTTGATATTCTTCTTTTCTGTTTGCGGGCATTAAATAAACTTACCAAGTGCAAAGTTATGTTGAATAAGGCTGCCTCTTCTAAAATTGTGAATCTAGTGGCCCCAGGGTCAGGGGTTCTAGTGCTAGGGTGGGGCCATATAGGTTATTATAGTGAAAATGGAGTAATTCTTTGATATTCTTCTTTTCTGTTTGCGGGCATTAAATAAACTTACCAAGTGCAAAGTTATGTTGAATAAGAAGACTGCCTCTTCTAAAATTGTGAATCTAATGGCCCCAGGGTCAGGGGTTCTAGTGGCATGGATGGGCTATATAGATTATATAGTGAAAATGCATTATTTCTTTGAAAATCTTCTTCTTTGCTCCTGAGTATTAAATAAACTAACCAAGTACATAGTTATTTTGAATAAGGATGCCTCTTCCAAAATTGAATTTCATGACCTCTGGGTTGGGTGTTCTGGTGTTAGGGTGGGGCTCTATTGATTCTTTAATGAAAATACATAAACTCTTTAAAAATCTTCTTTTCTGCACCTGGGTATTAAATCAATGAACTGTGTACATAGTTATGAGGAGCAAGGATGCCTCTTTGAGATTTGTGAATTTCAGGGCCCCTGGGTCAGGGCTTCTTGTGTTACACTTAGGGCGGGGCTCTAATGTTTATATAGTGAAAATGCACAAATTCTTTGAAAATCTTTTCCTTTGATCCTTGGTATTATGGCAATGATCTTAGTATAAATTTACGACGAAGAACGCTGCTTCTTCCAAAAATGCTTAATTTCCTGGCCCCTGGGACAGAGATACTTGGGGTGGGGGTGGGGGTCTGAAAATGATTTGGTGCTTTGAAATCTGCACTTTGGTATTAATCAACAACATAATGAAATAAAATTTATAAAATTTCCAAAATTTTGAAAGATGTGGCCCCAGGGTCAGTGGTTCCTGTGGGATGGGGTGCACAACTGATAATGATAAAGTGTAAATGCATTTTCTCTTTGTTGCTGTGATTTACATGTACCTCTGGGTATTACTAACCAAAGTAAACATGCTGAGTGCATAATTATGATAAGAAATGGTGCCTCTTTCAAAATTGTGAATTTCATGGCCTCTGGATTAAAACATGAATCAAATTCAATTGTTGGAAAGTTGTTGCATGATACTCAGGTGACCTATAAGGCCCATGGGCCTCTTGTTTTATCTTAAGATAAATAGAATAATAGAAAAAATTCTTTCAAGAAAAAAATTTCTAGGGTAGAAATAATTAGACTCGGCCTCCTTAAGTCCAGAATTTTGTTTTGCATACATTTTTTTTCAAAGCTCGTTAAGGGTCTCCATGGTAAAAAAAAAATCCTGAAGTACACTCTTAACGTACTTTGAAAAAGTATAATTACAGTGATTTGATTTTGTCCCAAATTGAACGCACTTTCAAAAAATTGTTCAAAGTGATTATTTTTTCAAAGTGTGTTGCCACAGACGGACGGCATTTGAGAGAGATCGACGTGGGATGCTAACTACTCCATGGCACTTGCTACCATTTTAATCTGTTAATTTGTGATTGATTACCGCGTTTGTTGTCGCTATCAAAGTTCCCTTAATATTGTTTGATATTGTCATTCAGATATAATATTTATTTTGGCTTGTTTTATAAAGGCGGAAATATTTATTTGTCTAGTTGAAAAATAAATCCGGAAATATTTATTTATCTAGGCCTAGTTAAAAGTTCACTGATACGTTTTCATTATTGTATGTATAAAATTTAAATCAAGATCCTGAAAAGGCTATTGATCTGTATAAATAGTAATATTTTCTCTTTACCCCAAATGGTCCCATATATCTTCACCTTCGTCCTTGTCAAACAGTTTCAGTCTGTAGATGGGGTTTGTCGTTCAAACTGGTAAGTTAAAATAATTGTATCTTTTGAGTATAATACTTCCAAAAGATTTCATTAAGATATATTTTGAAGAGGAAATTCGTTTAATTTTCAAAAATATAGTAATTTCAATTTTATATTGGTAAAAGAATGTTTGCAAATTATATTTTTTGAAATGATTAACTGTTTCCTATCCATATATCTATCTATATGTTTTTAGTTTTAATTTTTAATACAGGCCATCTTCATGTGAAGTCAACTTCATGGTTGGACCTAGGGGATGTGAACGTGAGTTTTCATTTTCTTGTAAAATTACAGTGCATAATTTTTACGATAATATATCAAAATTCAATTTCTTATGAGCAGCATACAGTGAACTGAAATTTAAACTGTGTATATCTTTTCAAAGTATCCATTATCGTTTCAGCGTGTGGTCCGGGTAGACTTGGCTGCAACTGTTCTCAATTCTGTCCAAATGGTACCTTTGGTTTTCTCTGCTACGGTTCGTGTAGCTGCTCTGAGGATGAAATCTGCCATCCGGAATTTGGGTGTATCACCACAGGTTGCTTGATTTTATGCACATCATTGTAGATCGTTTCATACATGCTGATATTTCTGCACGTTATGCTCTGGGGAATGAATTTTACAAAACCGACAGATAGGCAGACAAATGGATGGTCAATAAAATCGATTTAGGGGGAAAAGCTTACAGAGGTATAGAATCCTGTTTAAGTGTTAAAACCTCTTAAACTTTTGAACAGTTAATACATGTAATTGGCGTATTCAGTTCGGACAGCGCTAGATTCTTTTTTTTAAAATCGTATAAAAAGCCCATAAAATTTGCAATAGTTTTATTGTTTTATGAGAGTTTTTTCTAAACCTGTAGGCTAATTAAATACTGGCTTTATTGTTTCCCGAATAATGTAAGTATTCAAAAAGATTGAAAGCTATGGAGGAATAAAAAATGCCTATTAAAACAGACAGGTTGTTTTAACAGGGACGTAGCATCGATTTTGAATGTGTGTGCGAGTGTGTGTATGGTGGGGGGGGGGGGGGGGTGTGCTTAGCTAAAAGTATTTAACAAGCAAAAGTAAAATTGTTGAAACTTCAAACTCGAAAATCCTGACATCCTATTTTTTATGTGTGCTTGTGTGTGTTTGGAGAGGGGTTATAGGTTTCCATTTCTTCCGTTACCAGATTTTCTCATACAGTACTACGTCATTACCTCATATTACTATACTGCAACAAAAAGTAGGGAGGGTCAAGCGGTCTTGCAATAAGCATTTTCATTGGTCACAAATTATATTCTAAAAATATTTCTATATGGCTTTACGGGAACATGTAAACATATCCTGTTATATTTTGCTATAATAAAG